TTTATATGAAATGTCCAAAATAGGCAAATCATAGAGACAAAAAGTAGACTAGTAATTGTCAGTACTGGAAAGAGGCTATATTGCTATAGAATAAGGAATGTCTACTACAGACATGGGATTGTTTTCTGGGTGATACATGTGTTACGGAATTTGATAGTGGTGATGGTTGCAAAACTCTGCAAATTTTCTAAAAAACCCATTGGGGGGCGCCTGGGTGGCTCAGTGGGTTAAGCCGCTGCCTTCAGCTCAGGTCATGATCTCAGGGTCCTGGGATCGAGTCCCGCATCGGGCTCTCTGCTCAGCAGGGAGCCTGCTTCCCTCTCTCTCTCTCTCTCTCTCTGCCTGCCTCTCTGTCTACTTGTGATCTCTCTCTGTCAAATAAATAAATAAAATCTTTAAAAAAAAAAAAAAAACCCATTGGGGCCCCAGGTGGCTCAACTGGTTAAGTGGCCGACTTTTGGTTTCGGCTCAGGTCACAATCTCAGGGTGGTGGGTTTGAGACCCGTGTCGGGCTTGGCGTTTAGCACGGAGTCTCCTTGAGATTGTCTCTCCCATAACCTCTGCCCCTCTGCCTGTGTGCACATGCGTGCTCTCTCTCCCTCTCTCTAAAATAAACAAATCTTTAAAGAAAATATATACTAAAAACACTGAATTATATATACTTTAATGGGTATATGAATTATATTTTCAATAAAGCTGTTATTTAAAAAGAAAACAAACCCAAGATATTTTATCTAGGATATAAAGCTCACCCTTCAAAGATGAATTACCATAGTTCTAACAGCCCAGGAATGTAGGTAAACGTCTTTATACCACTCCATCCTTTTCTTCTAAAATTGTCTGAGATGGAGACTAAGTACTGAAAAAATAAGGTTTGGTCTCCACTCATAGGGAGTTCCAAGTCCAATGAAAAAGCAACACAATATAAGCAAGCAATGGTAATACAAATCAATAAGAACAGTTACTGACAGGATATAAAATACTACAGCAACAAAAGTAAACTTGGAAGTATGTTGAAACCCTAAATATAAATATAGGGGGAAAAAACCTTAAAAACCATTAGAAGAAAATATTGGAGATTATCTTTATCGCCTTGGAGTAGCACAGGACTTTTTAAAAACACAAGACACACAAACAACCTAGGCAAAACATTTTTAAATTAGGCTTCATTGAAAATAACTTTTGTGCATCAAAAGATGCCATAAACCAACACTGAGGGAAGATATCTGATGCTTTTAACTAAGGGTCAGTTTCCAGAACACCAACAGCCTCCAAAATTCAGTAACAAAAAGACTAACAAACCCAAAGAAAAACAGACAAACGCAGACAACAGTTCACAGAAAAGGAAAACTAAAAGGCCAATAAACACAAGGAAAAAAATGTTCAATCTCATTAGTAACCAAGGAAAAACATTAAAACAAGACATCATTATGGAGTGCCCAGCTGGCTCAGTTGGTGAAACGTGGGATTCTTGATCTCAGGGTCATGAGTTCAAGCCCCGCATTAGGGTCAGCCATTACTAAAAAATAAAACTTAAAAAGAAAAAATAGACACCACTTCATATCCATCAATTTATCAAATATTCGTAATACCAAAAGGTAGGTAAGAATATGAAGAGAAGAGCAATTTGGCAATACCTAATAAAGCTAGGGGCACCTGGGTAGCTCAGTCGTTAAGCGTCTGCCTTCTGCTCAAGTCATGATCACAAAGTCCTGAGATCGATCCCTGCTCCTCCCTCTCCCACTGCTTGTATGCCCTCTCTCGCTCGCTCTCTCTGTGTCAAATAAATAAAAATCTTTAAAAAAAAAAAAAAAAAGACTGTAAAGGTAGAAAGAAGAAAAGATTTCAGGAAAAAAAATTTTTTAAAGAAAGGAATGTCTGCCTTTTAATGTGTTTGGTTGCAAATAAGGACCCTTAATAAGGGAAGCTAAAATTCAAAGAATCTAGATTTTAAAGGTTTAAGGTGCACACTACAATAGTTTTCACCCCAATTTTGTGTTAGTGGATGGACTAGGATCAGATGTCTCATGCCCAAAAAAGTCAGACATGAGGTAGAGAAAAGGCAGAGATGAGAGTTCCCGAAAATATCTTCCTTTCCGACAAACTTTAAATATAAGTGTTTAATCTACCTACTTTAAGTAATGCCCCACTTTTGAAAAGGTCAAACTTTTCAGCTGCCTTGTCCTTTCAAGTGTCATTGGAGCCAACTTGAGGAGCTTTCTAAAGGTCAAATCTGGGATAATGTGAACAACAAAATAAATGATAAAAAAAAAGTAAAGGATCATAACCTATAAAGTAAAATAAACTTCCATGAGCCCAAAATGTTATAAATAATTGAAAAATAAATGAAGACAGGGTTGGGAGAGGGATAGCTTTTCCTTACAGCAGAATTCTAATTAATAAATGTAGAAAGAATGAAAGAGAAAATCACCTTTTGGCAGTCAACCTATTAATAACAGTTGCAGGCAAGATCACCAGGATATTTGCAGACTCAATTACAAAGCAGAAAACAGCAACTTTATAGAGAGAAACCTAGCAGGCACCACCTTAATCAAGTGATCAAGGTTAACATTTACACCAGCAATGAGACATATCAACATCATGTACTTCCTAAGAAGATGCACTGAGAGGGAAAAAGCATCACTTTTGGAGTTTTCTTACAAAAAAACAGGTGGCCTGAGTTTAATTTTGAGGAAACTCAAAACCCAAAGTAAGGGACATTCTACAAGCTAAACAGAGAGTACTTCTAAAGTATCAAGGTCATAAAAGAAACTATATTATAACTTAGAGGAGGCGAAAGGGACATATGACCCTAACTTGAATCCCAGATTAGAATAGGGACACTGGTCGGATAACTAGTGAAATTTGAATTAAAGTCTATAGATTAGTTAGTAGCATGCATCATGTTAATTTCCTGGGTCTGATAACTATATAACAGTTACATAAGACATTAATATTTGGGGAAGCTGGATAAAGGGCATTCTTGATACTACTTTACTTGGTTAAGTCCATTCCCACAAAGTCACAGATAAATGAGGTATAGTTTTCCATCCTTAAAACCTAAAAACTCAGGGCATGTCATGGCTCAGTTGGTTAAGCCTCTGCCTTCGGCTCAGGTCATGGTCTCCGGGTCCTGGGACTGAGCCCCACGTCAGGCTCTCTGCTCAGTAGGAAGTCTGCTCCCTCTGTATGCTCACTCTTTCTTTCTCGTTCTCAAAAATAAATAAATGAAAAATCTTTTTTAAAAAAAGTTTAAAAACATGTTTAAAAAAAAACGAAAAACTTCATTACTTCACATGGAAATTCTTCATACCGTTTTTGCAACTTAAGACCAAAATTATTTCAAAATGAAAAAGTTTGATTAAAGAAAGAAAAACAAGGGGTGACTGGCTGACTCAGTTGCTGAAGCATGTGACTCTTGATCGCAGGGTCATGAGTTTGAGCTCCATGCTGGGCACAGGATTTACTTAAAAAAATAAAGACTAAAATAAACTTTTAAAAAAGAAAAAAAAAGTGAGTGGCAAATGACACCTGAATAGTTAAGAAAAAAGAGTTCTCCCAAAGAGTGTGTATTTAACTATTCAGGAGAGGCACAGGACCACTCCAAGTTTCCCTCACCCAAAAGAATGCACAAGAATTAAGTAGATACAGCAAAGACACAGCAAAAGCACTGAGAAAGGACAGCTGAAGGGAGTGATGCCATAACAAAGGCCAGAGCTGGAGCTGCACACAGCCCTGCACAGGCTGCCTATTCATCAAAGCGTGCTAAACAAACTCATACTGGGCAGGGAACCCACCCAAGCACAGGCTGGATGACCTTGGACAAGTTACTCCACCCCTATGAGCCTCTTCTGTGCAGTGAAGATGGCTTCATCTGTGTCTTAGGGTTGTAGTAAGACAAAAATAATGTAAGCGAAAGCACACAGAACTAGGCTTCTCATGTCATAGGCCTTCAATAAAGGGTTCATACTGATGATTCTAATTAAGAATAAGAAATGGTTGGGGCACCTGGGTGGCTCAGTGGGTTAAGCCTCTGCCTTCGGCTCAGGTCATGGTCTCAGGGTCCCAGGATCGAGCCCCACATTGGGCTCTCTGCTCTGCGGGGAGCCTGCTTCCCCTCTCTCTCTGCCTGCCTCTCTGCCTACTTATGGTCTCTCTCTCTTTGTCAAATAAACAGAGAAAAGAAAAAAGAAATGGTTAAATCATATCCCATAGTTTAAGAAAGTAGAAAAACATGTAATTCATCCTAAATAAACTTCTACGGAAAAGGTTAAAATGAAAGCCACAGTGCCTGAAGGGGTATACTCCAATTAGCTAGGAAAACCACTAATGTGAAATTCCTCACTCCCCAAGCATCTGATAAATGAGGCGTAGTTTGCCATCCTTAGAACCACTTTGGATCTTTGGATCTTCAACACAACTAGCGTTAGCTAAATATGTGAAACACAATTCATTATGAAACTTACTGATTTTCGGGCAACCCTCTAGGGTCCCCTCCCTCCTCAGGAGCTTTGTACTTATCACTTTAGTATCACTCAATAAACTTGTGCTGCCCACCCAAAAAAAAAAAAAAAAAAGAAAGAAAGAAAGAAACTTACTGATTTTCTTTTGTATTTTACCCAGAGAGCCTCATTACAGTATGTCCCTGGGTGCTTTTCATCACCTAATTAGCATCAGACACTTTTCTAAATCTATCAAGACCTACCACACAAAATATCATAATAAGAATACTTATGTCTCAGTGAAATTATAGGTGATTTTTATTTTTTCTACCTCCTAAATTTTATGTGAGATACTAAATCATACCAGAAAATGAATAATTTACAAATAAAACTCACTATGATCAAGTTCTTGGTGAAGCGTAGTTTAAACTTACCCTTCTCTTAACATATTCACATTAACTTGGCTGTAAAATGAAGTCAATATACCAGACGATTAATCCTGTGTGCCTACTTGGTCATTTCCTTTGATTTAATGGGGATGACAAGAAAAGCACTTACCTCGACACTATTTGCAATATAACGGTTGTCACCTTCAACTTTGACAGAGAAGTCATAATAACCACTGGAAAATTTGACATTCATGAAGTTTAATTCAAAAACATCCCTGTTAAGAATGACAGCGGGGTTAGCAAGAACTCACATAGCAAAGTCATGAATGTAACAAATTGGCCACACGTGGCCCTCCTTGAGACAAACCAGGGTTATGCCACGTCTTCTCCTTTAAACTTCCCACCCAGCTGGGCCACCTCCTGCTCAAGCACAGATTATGCTGTGGGCAAAACTTCAGAGAGATCTAAAATGACCTCCTCCTTCTAGTCTCTGAAGTCTTCTTTCCTTTGTTTCCTCCTCTCCACTCCTAAAACCCCACCCCCTCGGGTAGGCTTCCACAATTAAATGCAAAACAGTCTACAGTATGATCCCTATTATGTTTAAAAAAGAGACAGCGAGAGAGTAGAAATGTTCAAAAAGGTTGGTGCAGAGCAGTATAATTGCAGGCAATTTTTTATACTACTTCTACTTTTCTGTGTTTTGTGAATTTCCTAAAAATGACATGTCTTACTTTTATGAAAATATCAGTAACTTTTATTTTAAAGGGGAGGAAAGGTAGAGAATTAACTCCAACTACATAGCCAAATCCCAAATGTCTTTTACCATTCCACTCATCATTCCTAAAAATGATTCTGCTTTTTAATTTGACATATTGTCTGTTTATCTTTATCATTGTCTAAGAAATGAATATTCTTGGGGCACCTGGCTGGCTCAGTCAGTAGAGCATGCGACAATTTTTTTTTTCTTTTTAGCATGTGACTCTTGACCCTCTGGGGTTCAAGCCCCATATTGCACCTAAAGCTTACTTAAAATAAAAAATAAATAAAAGAAATGGATATTCTCTCTAAAACTCAGAGTTCCCAGTCTTAGCTTACCAATTTAACACTTAACAAGATCTCGTATAAAAACTGATCCTTAATTCTTTTAAAATTTCCTTAACAATATGCAACCATTAAAAATAAGACTAAAGGGGCACCTTGGTGGCTCTGTCGGTTAAAGGTCTGCCTTTGACTCAGGTCAGGTCATGATCCTGAGATCCTGGGATCCCGGGATCAGGCCCTGTCATTGGGCTCCCTCTCTGTACTCACTGCCTGCGGCACACCTCCCTCCCCTGCCGCGCACCCCCTCCTCCACCCCGTTCCCACCCATTCTGATCTCTCTCTCTCTCTCTCAAATAAATAAACAAAAATATTTTTTTAAAAATAAGACTGAAGAAGATTTAATCCTATGGGGGAAATAATCATGAGACACTGTTATAGACAAAGCATAATCCTAATTCAATTAAAAATATATTTATTTGCATAGAAAAAGGGCTGACAAAAAAAAAAAACGACAAAATGTGAACAGGAGTTATCTCTAGGTGGTAGAACTATCAGTGATTTACATTTTATTTTGGGGCTTTTCTGTATTTCTCCTACAATAAATATGTATTACTCATATATCAAGAAAAAACAGCATCAAATTTAAAACTTGCTACTTACATCACAATGACAAGACAGAGACAACTAGAAATAGATACGGAAGGAAACATTAAAACTAAAACAAAATTCTTTTAGCTTTATTTTTTGTTGTTATTGTTGTTTGTTTTTTAGTGATCTCTACACCCAATTTGCGGCTTAAACTCACAACCCTGAAATTAAGATTCCTATGCTCTACCAATTATGTGAGCCCGGTGCCCCTCTTCTAGCTTTAAAAAAACCCTTTTCTTAAATAACTATACATTAGGAAGTCAAATTTACCTAAGCAAAGTTTAGGTAAATTTGATTTGGGGATACTTCATAATATCCATATTAATTCGTGTTATATTGGCTGCAGGCAAAACAAGTCTATTGGCACCCTTCAAAAATAAGTTCAAGACTTACCCGACAGGGGTAAAAGATGTCTTCTGGAGGACAGTGGCTCTGGAAGCAACAGATTTAGCATGTTCTAGTTTAACAGTGGCCTGAGTCAGAGGCTGAGACAGAACATTGGTGACCTGCAACTAGAAATAAATTTTAAAATTATCTGTAGCAACAAAGGCCAAAGGAGTACAAAATTTTGTTTCTGGGGAGATTTATCCACAGGGAGCCAGCTCTGCAGGGGAAGAGACTCTTTATTTCAAGACCTCTTCACTGACTCTGGTCTACGATCTATCAGAAATCAGACACAAAATACAAGGAGATTGGTGATGGGATAGATTATAGAATGTTAGAGGTGGGGGGGGAATCTTAAAGATGATCTCGTCCAACACTCATTCTTCAGACGGGGATGGGCACTTTACACACAACCTCCTTTATCAATCATCTGAGATAGACGGCATCATCTCTACTTTACAGATGAAGAAACTGAGGCCACAGGGCCAGTTCAGTTGGTCTAGGACTCAAACCACAGCCCATCTAGCTACAAAGCCAGTACTTCTACTTTGCTCTCCTAGCTGCCCCCTCCTGACTTACGGTGAACTGTGTTAATCAGATGATTTCTCACCCCAGCCTCGACGAGGCTGTGAGCACAGGCAGGGAGAGGAGAGGCAATTTTGAAAGAGAAGGCACTTCCTCAGGAGAATATTTAAAGAGGCCACCAGAGTAGAACTGATGGAACTGTCCTGCGTGGAACCCCAATGTCTACCATAAATAGAATACTAAGTTCTTATGAGGATGTTAGCTTATCACTGATTTCCAAACATCAAAATATGCCTCATTTGAGATGAAAACTCCAAGCTTACTCAAGATCTGTGCATTTCCTCTGTTCAGAGAATCACCATAAAAAAGCAGTCTCTGCTTCCTGCTGAGCGAGGAGGGACATGCTATGAAGAGGCAGAAAGACAAACTTCCAACAGGAGGAAGAGACCTGGTGTTAACAACTGTAAGCACCAGAATTACAGGGGAATTTAGAAAAAGTGGTCTTTAAATAATGTATTTAGAAAGTTCTGGTACTGGAAAATGCCTTTTAGAAGCAAGACTCCTCTATACATTTAGTGTTATGACCCCAGAAATACAATTTTCTTGCATTTAATTTCTCAAAAGACTGGTGATAAAAAATCTTCCAGGAAAAAAAAAACCTTTTCTGGATTTTTTTGAAGAGTTCTGTGACTAGTTCAACCACAGGTCATATCCCCAATTCCAGGCTAAGGGAAATGAGCTTTGCTCTACTTTTAATGGGTATGTCCTCGGTTGGGGCAGGAAGGTGGTTACAATTAGATCTCCACCAGTCCTTAGATTTCTGAGAGCCTTCCACTGGAAAAAGGTCAGGGCCGCACAGCTTGGACATGGAAGTCATACCCGAAGGATAGCCTGCTCGTAAGTGTCTGAAGGAGAGCCCTCGGGCACAACCACAACTGGCACGTGATAGCGGTTCTGAGAGAGCGCAGCGGCAGCAGAGGCCACGCTGAAGGCTTCTGAGAGTGACTCAAAGTTCTTCTTGCTGAAGATGGCATTCATGAGTTGGATGACCTGATCCTGAAAGAAAAGGGGAAATGCAACTTGAGATCGTCCTCTGGCAGGAAGGTGGTCATCTTGACCAAAACCCTGAAAAGATTGGTATTATCAATTATCAATGTTTTCCAAATGAGGAAAATGAGGTTAAAAGGCTAAGTAACTCCTACAAGTTATAATAGGAAAAGAAAAAACAGAAAAAAAAAAGCAAGACCAAAATTCACATGTAAGTCTGTCTCCTCCCAGAAGAAAATATATTCTTTCCTAATTCCTTTCACCCTCCCACCTAACCTAACTTCCTTCCCGACTCCCCTCTGAGCAGTACACTGGAGTTAAGTTTGAATTCAGAAGACCAAACCTTATAGCCAAAAATGTACATTAGAAAGAAACTAAAATAACTTTCCATTAAGAACTAATGGGCTGTTTAGAGAAGAAAACTAAAAGCAGTTTTTTTAAAAAAGTGGAAGCTAAAAGGCATTATTAAAATTCTGGAGGTTGTTTGCTTAAGAGGAAACATTTTCCACTTCAATCAGTTTTGTTTTTTAAAACCTCCAATCTAACAAAAGAGCTCCCTTGTTCCCGACAGTGTTATTCATAGTCGACATGAAATAATTTTCTTTAATTGTACCAATTACATTTTTCCGTCACTAGGCTGTTGACATGTTAAAATGGGTGACTATTCACCAGAATGGTTATGTCAAAAGCAGTGACAGCCAAATTACTCCATCCAAATACCTGGTTAGCAGAAGCTTGGGAATAAAGCAAGAAAAAGTTTAAGTTGTGTATGTAGAATATCACCAACTCATCTACCATGCTGTGTATAGGAGAGTTCCTAAATGATTTGTAACGTAAGACCCACATTCCTGTACTCCACCCATCGTAGAAATTAAGAAAGTATTGCATCTCCAGATCTTCTATACTCAGGATGAACCAAAGACAACAGAAGAATACTAATACATGAATAAATTATTAGGTCATATCCTCCAGAGAAAATAGAAAATCAATTCAAATTACCCAAGACAGATCATTAATTACTATTTACTTGAAGAAACTCAGCACAAAACTCAAAATGCATGAAAGAAATCAAAGTTCTAACTTGGAACCCAAATCTCTCCTCCTAAAATTAAAACAACAGCAGCTTGTCTTTTAAATCCTTTAGCTCAAGGGTTGGTAGCCTTCTCACAAACAAGGGGTACAAAGAAGAGTCCGGCTCAAAAAGATTTCCCACACACATTCCAACCAAAGGTTCTTTCAGGTTAATGAGCTCCTCTTGGGGAGGGGGGACCCACAAAGAAAAGAAAAAAAAATTAAGTCTTGGTAGATGTCTGGTAGACACACATGCCTCTCAGATAAGTATATCAATCAGCAAAGATAATTAAGATTTAGCCATTGCCAAAGATGAGGTGGAAGGGAGAACAGGGCACTTCTCAAGGAGAAGGGTTTGCCTGGGCCACCGACGTGGAAATCACTCAAGAAACAAGCAGTAAGGAGTACCAGAAGAGAGAGAGGTGAAACTAGTGTAATCATGTGGCCTTCTTGTCACCACCTCATGACATACCCTCCCCAATTTAAAGCAAATGTAACAAGGCTGGAGATCTACTACCCAACATGTGGGAAAGAGAGAGCCCACAGCATGGGGAGACCTGGTTTAGGGGCATCGCTACTACCTATTATCTGTGTGTCCCCACATGTGTCATGCTGCCATTTTACAGAGGGACCAAGTCTGACTGAGCATATTACTCAGATTTCCTATGATGATCAAATGAGCCACACATAAAAATGTTTTATAAACTATAAAGTATTATAAGACAAAAAAATAAGTTAAGTGTGACACCGTTTACATGTCTATTCCACAGATAACCAGTTTCTTGAGGATAGGCATTACATGTTTCTCATTTTCAATGCCTAACCCAAGACACCGTGTGACTACACCCCAAGCCGAAGTCAACATCCCCTCTGAAAAAAACTGTTCTTAGCAGATGAAGTCAACAACCCCTTTGGGTTTCACGCCCGAGAATGGTTAGGTACCTCCTTAATGGATGGCTCCGTGCCCACATGGTCCATGAGCTTGTAGGTGGCAGCCACAAATAAGGCTGTGGTTTCCAGTCCTTCTTCAAACTGGAGATACACACCTCCCAGTTCATCGAGGCGAGCAACAAGATCCTGTCACAACAAAATGGAAGCAGGCTGGAAGTCAAGTGATCACAGAAGGAGATATGCAAACCACAGTCACCCCGTGTAGGCAGTTTTGAGAAATTTCACTCTACATCTCTAAATCTGGAGAACCACATTAAATCTGGAGTACTCTGTCAAACAAGATGCTGAGGCAGAGAATAAAGTGTACTCCACAGGCACCTGGAGAGACAGTGTCTTCCGCAGCCCTGGGAACGCCCCCTTCCCTGACCCCTGGTACTCAAGCCCAAGCCCCTGAGTCAGAGCACTGAGGAACCCAGGCTGCAGGGCACCCAGGAAGCATCAGGTCACAGGTGGATTCCACAGCCATCTGTCTGGATACAATCTACATAGCAGAGTACTGCTCTTTCTCATTCAGTGCACTAAAGGATGGACAGAGACATGCTCCTCTCCTGGGCAACAAGATAAGGCAGCAAACATGCCTGTGGGGCACCCAGTGAGGACACCGGGTGGACTGCCTGTCATCACGGACTATGTCGTCCACGAGAGCGGTCTCTGAGCAGCAGGAGGTCCTGGGCAAAGGAAAGGATCAAGTCATTCTAAAAACACAGTGAGCCCTTGCCAAGCACCTATTACGAATCAGGTACTTTAGAACCCCACTTGTTCTTACAACACCATATAAGGAATCGTGGCTCAGACATGAAATAATTTGTCCGAGATTACAAAGAACTAAGTAGCAGAAAAAAATACCTAAATTTCAGGTTTGTTAGGCTCTAAAATCTGTGGACTATGAACCTATACCGACAAAGGGCTGGCAAAGTAAACTGTTACCTAATGGATGGTGTAACTATCCTACCCTAGCGAATATCCCCCAGGACATATTGCTCTCATACAAAGAACGGAAGTGTGGCATGGGTGTGAAGAGAAACATCACTGGCCAAAATAAGCCATGCATGTCTATCTGCAAGACTCTTTTAAAGGGTTTCAAAGACAGGAGATGGGAAATTCATTTGGCGAAATAAATTCACACCTCAATCTCCTCCACGATGCTCCTCAAGTCAGCGTGCTGGGACAGGTGGGATGCCGTCTGCAGAGCCTGGACTGTTCTGGAAGATAAAAGTGAATGTCAAGTCTTACCTCCTTTCATCTGCTCATTCCTGCTCGAATTGGGATGCTTTCAGGAATATCCCTCTCCTGTTCTTTAGAAGTATAAGACTGTCTCAGCCGTTAAGGAGCATAATTACAATCCAGTTGGGAAAAGCTGCTACATTACAAAGATCCTAACAGCAGGAAAAGGCAATCCAGGCAACATGACCTGAAGTAAGTACTATGGGCACTTAGTAAGTGTGGGCACTTAGAGAAGAGACAGAGAACAAGTTCACCCTTTCTGGAAATCCGTTTTGTTCCTAGTGGCTTCGCATACCAAACACTGAGTAAGACTCGCTTAGGTTTAGAAGAGTTAGGCTCTTTTGGGAGAACAGAATTCAAGTGGATCGAGGGTATCTGGCAGCTCTGAGCTGCACAAAGCACTGTGCTAGGCAGAACTTAGCTGCCCGGGTAACTTTCTACTTTTCTCACTCTAAGACCGAAGAAATATTATGGAATACACATTTGCAGACTGTTGGGTAGAATTTGGAGCAACTTTTCTGACACCAGACCCACATGCTATGAACAGGAAGCCGTCACTAGACACGTGCTGACTGCTCCAATACTCGTGCCATCCTCGCCCTGCTGGGAGACCTGAAAGTCACTCACCCTTCAGGCATTAAGTAAGATAAAAGTAATTTGGTTCTGAAACCAGAATTTATTCTCTTTTTCTTTCCCTACCACTTATTCCTGATTATAAAAGCATGTATTTGTCAAAAATAAAATTCCTTTAACACCTACCCTAAACATAAGTCTTTTCCAACTTATTAACTTAATAATACGATGTGTATGTCTTTCAGTATCGGTACATATAAACATCCTTCACTCTTATGAACCAGGACATAGTACTCTACTGCTTGGATGGACCACAGTTTACTCCCTGACTCTCTCGTGGACACACATTTTTGTTGTACCATGTCATACAGTGCTGCACCAAGCCTCATTCACCAGTCTATTTTTAAATTGAACTGAAATTTACATAAGAAAATTAACCAGGGACGCCTGGGTGGCTCAGTAGGTTAAGCGGCTGCCTTCGGCTCAGGTCATGGTCCCAGCGTCCTGGGATCGAGTCCCACATCGGGCTCCTTGCTTGGCGGGGAGCCTGCTTCTCCCTCTGCCTCTGCCTGCCACTCTGCCTGTGCTTGTGCTCTCGCTCTCTCTCTAACAAATAAATAAATAAAATCTTTAAAAAAAAAAAAAATGGTTGTGTTAAAAAAAAAAAGAAAATTAACCATTTAGGGGGCGCCTGGGTGGCTCAGTGGGTTAAAGCCTCTGCCTTCCACTCAGATCATGATCCCAGGGTCCTGGGATCGAGCCCTGTGTTGGGCTCTCTGCTCAGCAGGAGTCTGCTTCCTCCTCTCTCTGCTTGCCTCTCTGCCTACTTGTGATCTCTGTTTGTCAAATAAATAAATAAAACTTTAAAAAAAAAAAAAGAAAGAAAGAAAATTAACCATTTGAAAAGTGAACAATGCAGTGGTATTTAGTATGTCTCTATCTCACCACCTCCGTGTAGTTCCAAAATGTTTCTGTTTTCAAAAGAAAACCCTGAAGCCATTGAGCAGCTTCTTCCTAGCTTAATGGGCACAGCCCCTGGAACCCCCAATCTACATCTGGGTCTATGGATTTACCTACTCTGAACAACTCATATAAATGGGATCATACACTATGTAACCTGCGTCTGGCTCCTTTCCCTTCGCCTCATGTGTTCAAGGCTCACTTTGTTGTGGCGTGTGTCAGTACGTCATCCTTTCTATGGCTTGTTCATGTAGCTGCATCCACTGATGAATATATTTCTGTAAGATAAACTTTACAGGTAGAATGTGGTAGGTGCACACACATAAGATTTTTTTAATTAGATTCTACTCTCTTAGCGCAGATAACTTGGAAAATAGAAATGGTGGTTTTCCGGGTGGAATGGAGAAAGCAGAGGACCCCCAGTGGTTAAGCAAAAGCTGCCTCAACCCCAGAACGGTCCCTTATTTCCCAAGAGGTGGAGAAAGCAGAGGACCCCCGGTGGTTAAGCAAAAGCTGCCTCAACCCCAGAACGGTCCCTTATTTCCCAAGAGGTGACGGGGCTTTTCTGTAAAACCACCACTTGTCCATCAAGTCATCATGGTGGGGAATGTAGAGAGAGTCTGTCTGCTTCCATTGAGATCATAACCATTTAGATTCCCTCTGTGGAAAACTAATCCCACTAAGGTGACAAGCTAGAAAACAGAGCAGTTACAGTTCATGGGCAGGGAAGCCCCGAACATTCAAAGACTGCTATGGGATGCTTGTTGTTCAAATGCACTAGAGAAAATGAAACCTGAACTTCCAAACAAGATAAAAAATCCCACATTTGCCCGTAACAAATGCTGAGCCCACAAAAGGCTGCTAAGATAGCCAGGAAAGAACTTTTCAATTAAGATATTTTTCTCTTTACAACGAGTGAATGTCATGCTGGTAACAACTTCAGAAGTTTTTAAGAATAAAATTAATCCACTTAGCTTTTGAAAAGTTTTGTCACTGGCTTTAATTACTTACTCTCCAGTCAGTAATTTCTTTCCCTCTGGAATACTGTATTCAAACCCTAAGAAAGCCGATCTTATCTTGCTAATATACAGCAGATGCTTTAAAAGAAATTGGGTTATGAGAGACCACAATGGCATCTTTTCAGATGGTTCATTCAAACCTGCAGGTTTTTTTCTCCATTCTAGACAAGTTTCCGAAGATTCATATCCTAGAATAAGTCCATTTAAATGCAGAAGGCCCATTTAGAAGTCTTCATTTATATCGGATTTCCTTAAACAGGGCAAGGGCAAGTTGGTAGTAATGTTATACAAGGCAAACAAGGCATCCTGCTAGTTTGATCTTCACAATAATCCTAGGAGAAAACTATCACTGTCCCCATTTTACACATGAAAACACTGAGGTGTAGGGCAATTAAACAGCCTGCTCATGGTTGCAGAGGTATTAAGTAGAAGGATTTAGATCTGAACACAGTTCTTTCGATCCCAAGCACGTGCTCTTTCTACCTGCAGGCTTTCTTCAAGAGACTAGAAACATCAAAGTACAGTTTCAGCCTTTATTCACTCCTTGTGGGGTACCTACCAAGCACCAATGTGTGAGCCCCATAAATAAAGAAGCTTACAATCTAATATAGAAATGACTACAGTACAACCAAGGAAGTAACCAGCTTCCTAAGAAAGGGACGTAGGAAAGAAGTGCTCAAGAGGAGGAGGAGCTTTCGTTGTGTGCCCACTAGGAACCAGGCACTACACTAGATTCTTCGCATGCATTATCTCATTTAATCCTGTCACTATTCTACGATGTAAGGATTATTGGTCCACCTTTTACAGATGAGGCTCAGGGAGGCTCGTAACTAACCCAAAGTCACACAGCAAGTAAGGAACAGAGCTGCTGTTCATACTAACTAATTAACTAGCTAACTAACTCCAAAATGGATATACTCTCTTTGTATTTTTTCCTGTTCTGGGATTTTGAGGAAGAAGACTTTCTTTTTTGCTTGGAAGGAAATGGGAAAGATTCTGTTGTAGAAGGTGGCATCAGATTGAGGCACTGACAGTGATATCATGACATGAGACTAGGGATCTCACTGGGGATCCTTGGGGATCTTCCCCAAGAGATTATGAGAGACCAAAATAATGTGACCTAAAACTGAAGGAGAGCAGGGTCAAATACTGGGCAAAATGTATACAAAACATCAGCCTTAGGAAAAGTAGCCCCAAAGTCGCTAATGACTAACCATATGAAAATGAGTAGGGTGTAAATGACACAGAGAATGTAACTGACTAGGAGCCCTGTCTTTAACAAAGCTTCCAGTTTAAAAACATTTTGATTTTACTTAGTCAAAACAATCCCACCCCCACCCCCAAAAAGCTGGGAAACAACTGAACTAACTATTCTGCAACAGGGAATCGGTGTCCCCAACCTCTTGCTAAATAATTAACAGGAGGCCAGGCACGCTCCACCCTTTTTGGGGGGTTGCAACTGAATGGGGGACACAAACAAACAAAAAATACATAGACCGTTTTAAATGAGGAGTTTCGGTGTTAAAGGAGAAAACTACATATACCGTTACTCTCAAGTTTGGTCAACATCCTCAAGTCAGTCACAACATTTAAGTTCGAAACGAAGAGGAAAATTGCTCAGTTCTTTTCCTATAAGGTGCTTCTCCTTCACCCAAGCCTTTTGCAGAGGAGTAGAGTCTGATTCCTAGAATGCTCCCCGCTCTGAGCACCCACGTCTCCCACCAGATGCTGTCTCACAACTTCAAGGGATCCCGTAAGCCCTCTTCCGGTGCAGAGCCCCCACTGCCAACAGCTCACCGTGCTCAACAAGGGATGTACATGGCTCGCTGGCCTCACGGCTCCCTCAGTCATCTCCTAACCCTGGCTGCAGCCTCTCACTTCAAAAGCAATTCTGTCTTTCTAGGGCAGTGCGTTCATGCTCTGCCTCAGTGTCGTGAGGAACACGGTGTCCAGATGAGCCCATCAGGACAGGGACCTTGCCTGCCTCAGTTCAATACCGCGTCTGTGGTGCTCGGCAGAACCCATGGCTCATACGAGGCGCCCAGAAAAGACTTGCTGAACCAGTGGATGAACAGTCTCCACCACAAATGAAGCCTGAGACGCGCTCGACACGACAACTTACGCTAACACAGTCTCCTCCTTGCTGAGGCGAGCGGTAAGGGCGCTGAGTGCTTCTTGGGAAGCCAAGGGAAGGCCAAAGCCGCTGAGGGCGGCCACAGCATGGTAGATCTGGGTAACAGATGAGTCTTCACTGACAGCTGCCAGGAGCAGATCTTTGGTCTCATTTGAAATAGAGATCTAAGAAAGGATTGGCAGACACAGTTTTAGAACAGGTGCTGGCAGTCTATGGCAAACAACACAGGGAGGGACTGCCCAAGTCACACTACCCGGCGGCGCACGATCGTCCCCCCTTCGGCTCCTCAGAC